AAGAATACACATCACCACTTAGTGTTAACTTAATAGTTTAATACATTAACAATTTCTTGTGGTTTTGTTTTTGTAGATGAATTTGGGATCACACCTCAAAACTGGCAACACAATGCTCCTTCATCAAAGGAAAATATAAACGGATTGCCACCAAAGTTCACCAATTCACCACTAAATGCATCATGTTTTCAGTTACCTTCACTGGGTTCCTCAGCCCCTCCTCCACCACATTCAACAAGCAGTGCAGGGTCTGAAAAGCAAAACCCACAGCCACAATCAACAATGGGTCAGGGTTACCCCAACTCCAAGACCATATTTAGTTATGAAGAATTAGCAACTGCAACACAAGGTTTTTCACAAGTGAATCTCCTTGGTCAAGGTGGTTTTGGGTATGTCCATAAAGGAGTTCTTCCAAATGGTGAGATAGTTGCCATTAAACAACTGAAAGTTGGAAGTGGACAAGGGGAACGTGAGTTTCAGGCTGAAGTTGCTATTATTAGTCGTGTTCATCATAAACACCTTGTAACACTTGTTGGATATTGCATTTCTGGGATTCAAAGGATGCTGGTTTATGAGTTTGTTCCAAACAAGACCCTCGAGTTCCATTTACATGGTGATTAGAATTGTTTATAACCTTAAACCTAAATATGACATCTTTATTTCGGTAAAAAGAATATTTTTAAATGAACAATAATCCTCCTGAAAGTTTTTCATAGGATAATAAATATGCAAAATACTAGTTTTTTTTGAGTCCTTTAGACTTCTACAGACCCTCTGTTTTGTGAATTAGAAAAAAAAAAAAGAAGCCATGATATTTATTTTTCCAAAAGTCAAAAAGGCTAAATTGGAAAAATGTATGAAGCTTTAATAGGTTGTTATATCTGGAAAGTTTGACATGGCAGGAAAGGAACATGGGCCTTTGAATTGGGAAATGAGGATGAAGATCGCTTTAGGATCTGCAAAAGGATTAGCATATTTGCATGAGGACTGTGAGTATTCTTTATAACTATTTTGAGCATAAATTTTAGTTGAAATAATTGGGATAAGATATTTAGTCAATTTAAATTGCATTTTCAGGTCAACCTAAGATCATTCATCGTGATATCAAGTCTGCAAATATACTTCTGGATATAAATTTTGAGCCAAAGGTAGAAACTACTTGTATAATAATAATAATAATAATAATAATAATAATAATAATAATATGTTTTAGTGAAATGAACATTTTTTATTTTAATTTATTCAGGTTGCTGATTTTGGACTTGCTCGATTCACTTCTGAAACTGATACCCATGTTTCGACTCGTGTGATGGGAACTTTTGGGTCAGATAATTTCTCCCACTTTATAGTATATGAAATACATAATTAATACTAAAATGTATTCTTAAACGCACAAATACTTTTTGTTTTGCAGTTATTTAGCTCCAGAGTACGCTCTTACTGGAAAACTGACAGAAAAATCAGATGTCTTTTCCTTTGGTGTGATGCTTTTGGAATTGATTACTGGACGCCGACCTATCGACAAAGCCCAATTCTTGGATGATAACATTGTCGACTGGGTAAATAATGACTAATGAGTTATCCTTTTTCCTTCTTTTTTTGTAAAGGTTTTCTGAAAAGTGTGCTTAATACAGGCAAGACCATTGCTAAATGAAGCATTGGAAAATGGTGACTTCAGCTCTTTAGTCGATTCGGGGCTAATGAATGATTATGATTCGGGTGAAATGTCTCGGATGATTGCTTGTGCTGCTGTTTGTGTACGTCATTTGGCAAGGCGAAGGCCATCAATGACCCAGGTATGTTTTATTTATTTCTAAAAACCTACCCGATTATAACAATATAACCGAAACACAAAGAGTACATTGTTATTACTTATAGTTGGGTATGTTTTTTATTTACACAATGAAAGTATTTGTTGCAGATAGCAAGAGCGTTAGAAGGGAACCTGCCACTAGAGGATTTAGACGAGGGTTTGAAACCTGGGCACATAAAATTTAACGCTTCTCATGAGAGCTCTGATTTTGATACTGCACAGTATAGAGAAGAGTTAAAAAAGTTTCAGAAAATGGCATTTGAGAGTCAAAATAACTCAAGTGTATGGAGTGCACCCACCACAAGTTTTGGTCAGCAGCCATCTGGATCTAGTAGTTCAACACATGATCTTGGCTCGACCAAACTAGTTCAACAATAATTATAATTATAATTATAATTTTAGAGTTTATTTGGATGAGATAAGATATGATTGTGTTTATATACAGCTTTATCCTTGTACAGAAACAGACTCAGGATTTTGGTTTTTGATTAGTTGAGGACCCCAATGTTTTGGTGTGATATTAGTTGTGGGAGGTTTTCTAGGACAATATTTGGATGCGTTTGTGACTTTATGTTATTTGAAGTTATGATAATCAGATTTAAAAGAAATGACTGAAACGAAGGTATAGATAAGATTGGTATAAAAATCAATATCATTTTCATGTAAAATTATGTTGCAATTCTGTGTCATTCAATTTGGATTGTATTGTATTGTCTACAATGAGTTGAATGGAACGAAGAGTAGGTAAAACCAAACAAGCCAAACTGAATGAATCAATCCACGTTTGCTAAAAAACTGTATGCAAATACGTATATATAATTTTGTAATAATATTTAATGCATTACATATTTATATTATTCAGAAAATAACAAAAAAAAAAAGATGTTTGTTGGTTAAACCAACTCATACTACATGGAATGATACAAAAGGGTTAGCCTTTTGGTGGTATTTATCTAAGATTTATTTTCTCAACGATTGAAATAAATCTAAATACTTTACGATGGTTAACCTTTTGGTGGTATTTATCTAAGATTGTTGAAAATTATTTTTGTATTATAGAATGAATAACATAAAGAAAATGTCATTGACTAAAAATCACCTTGTCCTTTTATGTCACAACAAGAAAATTCATCAATCACAAACGATCTCCCGGAATTGTATCATTATTTTCGGCCAACATTAAATAATGTTTGTCACAAATTAAAATCATAAACTAAGTCAATTTGGGCCAATATGATCAGGAAAAGAAAATTTTAATGGAGACAATATTCTTTCTCAAATTTACAATAATTTGTAATTTATTTTGGGTCAACCGTCTTACAAATAGATAACATTCTATATACATTACAAGTTCATGATTATATTGATTATTTTTAACCTTCAACCTCCAAACATCATTGGCCTTAATGTAACAAGCTGGCAATTCGAATGGACAATTTGTTTTTCTTGTCTCATATCTCTGTGGATGTCTCCGTACTTCTAAACATACCACTCCGATCACACATTAAAATAATTTTCTACACATAGTCACTTGGTTTTGTCTTTGTTGTTTTAATAACAACCACATACCCAAGAGAGCATGCCACATTCTGCACCCACTCTATTAAATTTTCACGATTGCTAAACACCTAACGAATGAAAAAATCAAAGTATAATATTTGGTAAGCCTTACGAACATATAACATCCAGAAATATATATTAAAGCTATCAATAAAAAATAATACCTGGTCAATGTGAAAACATTCATTGTCTATATTAGGTTTTGGACTGTATAGAATGTTGAAAGCCTTTGATTTGATAAAAATCTTCTTATTTTAGTTTGATGAATGGTGAAAGCTTTTGATTAGTATTATCATTCGATTCATTTTATTTTATAACCCAAAATTTGTTTGTCAATTATGAACTCGTGAGGAATCAAATGTCATTCATATTAATTACCTGTGATATAAAATAACCCATGTGTTTGTTTTATTTGGATGAAAAAGAGTAAGGTCCCGTTTGATAGTTTCTGTCTGGGAAAATGATGTATGGTAAAGTGCTGTCTGGGAAAGTTTTCTGACCGGGAAAGAAACCATGTTGATTGTACATCTGATTGACTGTGCTGAATGATGAAAAATGACCCGGTTTATGTCCGATAGTGGTGGGATGGATGAGATTTTTTAAAATAAATTAGGATGGTGGTGGTGTTGTCCAAAAAAATGAATTAATCCAATAAAAATGAATTAAAAAAATTAACTAAAAGAAATTAATAATCCAATAAGGTAGTATATATTAATATATAAATATTATATATTATAAATAATATTTATGAATATATAATAATCCAATAAAAAGAATTAATCCAAAAAAGAATTATTTAAAAGAAATTAATAATCCAATAAAATAATATTTATTAATACATAAATATTATACATTAAAATAATATTTCTTAATATAAAATAATACATTAAAAAAGTAATAATTCAATAAAAAATAAATCTAAAAAAAGTTATTTAAAAAAATTAATAATCCAAGAAAAAAAGAAAGATGCGGGGTTTTGATGCATAATTGTCTTTCCAACCCATTCAGCGAGAAAGATATGATTTTGGGGCTTTCTGGGAAAGACATATCTTACCGGGAAATACCCATTTTTTTGTGCAAATCAAACAATCTTTCCGGTCCATTCAGCCAGAAAGATCTGTTTGGACCTAGAAAGATACGTATCAAACGGGGCCTAAGTGAAGATAGATGGAAAAGAGATTGGGTGGATCAAGACAAATATTAATAGGAGTTATGCTAATTACCCACTAAAATAGAAAATCATACTTTTTAATTTTTTTAGGAATAATAATAATAATAATAATAATAATAATAAAGAAAAAAAAAGTAAAAATCATTTTTTATGTGATTGATATTAGAAGGTAATTAAAGGTTAATTAAGGATTTAAGGAGTATTATTACTTTATTAGATCTCTGAAGTCTGAAGAACCCCATCAGATTAATCATGTATGCCCTAAACTGCAATAACATATTTGTTATCGATGGTTCATGTATTAATTTTCTAATTTCTACAGTTATTTTTGCCGCGTGTTCTTGTTCGTCATCTGCATTTTTACAAACGAAACTGCAGATTCTCTCGTTCTCTCTACGTCCCAACACCATAAACACACACAGATATTGCTGGTCGTGAGGATAGATCAGTGTTAGTATGGCTTCTCGAAGGAGAATGCTTCTCAAGGTCATCATCCTTGGAGACAGCGGGTAAATAATAAAATGCGATCAAATGCAAAACAAATAAAAAACCGAATAAATGATAGGAATCTGAGGTTTCTGTTTGATCATTTTCGAGATTCAAATCATGTTTACTGCAGAAAACTTATGAATGAATCTGTCTGATCTTTGATTGGACTTTGGACATTAATACGAATCTGATAGAAGCTTTCCTCAATATCTGTGCTAATCTACGTTTATTTAATAATCTGTTGTAGGGTTGGGAAGACGTCTCTGATGAACCAGTAAATTCTAATTACTGATCTCCTTATTTTCCAGTATGTTGATGTTTTCTGGACTTTGATTTCGTTTCACATTGAATGATTCGGATAGGTATGTGAATCGTAAGTTTAGCAATCAGTACAAGGCAACCATTGGAGCTGATTTCCTAACAACAGAGGTTCAATTTGAAAATAAGCTCTTCACAATGCAGGTGCGATGAAGCTTCCAATACAATTCCATTTGTTATTACTGTGTGTCTATATAAATTTTTTGTTTGTGTGTTTATGCTACCATTGATTATAGTCTCTGCTTGATAAGTTTTGATTATTTTTTCAAGATATGGGACACTGCTGGACAAGAAAGGTTTCAAAGCCTTGGTGTAGCTTTCTACAGGGGTGCTGATTGTTGTGTTCTTGTATATGATGTAAATGTCATGAAATCATTCGATAGTCTTAACAACTGGCGTGAGGAATTTTTGATTCAGGTGATTATTGATACAATTCAACCATGTTATATATATTTCTGATATTCTGTATCCCATTTTCTTAACCAAATTTCTGAAGAAAAAAAAGATGTGTCTTCATTCTTCTTCAGGCAAGTCCATCTGATCCTGATAACTTTCCCTTTGTTCTATTGGGGAACAAAATAGACATTGATGGGGCCAATGGTCGAGTGGTAGGTTAATGGAATTCTTTTATACCATATGTTTGTGCTTAAGTTTAAAAGGCATGAACTACTGATTGCAGGTTTCTAAGAAGAAAGCAAAAGCATGGTGTGCATCCAAGGGAAACATACCTTACTTTGAGACTTCTGCAAAAGAAGGAATTAATGTGGAAGCTGCTTTCCAGTGTATAGCAACAAATGCTGTTAAGAACGAACCAGAGGAAGAAACGTAAGTTTTACTCATAAGCTAATTTGAGGATATTCCCATATGCTATACACTTTTACTTTTTTAGTCTGCATTTGTTGCACATGAGAAGCTTTCTAGGGTTCAGTTTGATGATTACAAGGAGGGCACTTGTTCCACCTTTTTGAATGAGAAAAAAAAAAAAAAAACTACCATTTCAATTTTTACATGTGAGTAACTTGGTTATGGTTATAGGTATTTTCCTGAGACGATTGATGTTACTGGGGAAGGGCGTCAACATAGGTCTTATGGATGCGAATGTTGAACCACGGAGTTTATGAAGCTTTCATGCTATCCCTTCATTGATATCAATGTTACCCTGAATTTTTGGAATTTTTTTTTTCTTTTTTACAGCTATCATTATTTTATCTGACAAAGATAATAATGTTCCAATCCTTCTGGTAACATATTTAGGCAACGGTACATCTAACTATTATAGTAATAGAAAAGCCTTTTAAAGTGTTTTACAAAGACCTACAGGTCGTAGTTTATTAAATAGCAAACATGATAATATGATCATAATCATGACTTGTATTTTATCATAAGACTAAGAGTCAAATGATCTCCAAAATCCAATCCTCTTGGATCTGTGGAATACATTCAAGTTCATGGCAATTTCACAAACAAAGTTTGAATCAACAGTTATGTTAATCTATTGTTACTCATAATTTTGCACACACCAAAACAAGCAATTTCAAATTTTCAAAATTTTATCAAAACTATTTAAGAATTTTTTTGTGGAAAGCATATGATAAAAAATATCAACATTTATCATAGTCTAATCACAAGAACGAAAAATAAAGACATCTAATCCTATCGATGTGCTCGTCATCCATGATAAGATCTTGTCCTCCTTGCTCTGTATGACTTAGACTTTTATAGATAATACTCTGCAGTCTTAAGTCTATCATACAACTTCACGTAGGATATATCGGAGCTTTGTAAGTGATCAACATAGTAATTAAAAGAGTTGGTCAACGAGTCAAGAATAATGGTGACTCCTAACCCCTGATGTATGGGATATCAAATACCCCCCGTCTAATGTATCCCTCATTTTCCGATAATAAGGTGCTGCTTTCTCTCCGGCTTATAGCTTACATCCTTTTAGAGTCTCAAATTCTAAGGTGTTCTTGCCAAATCAAACCATGAAACATTAATTGAGCAGTTTGAATATATGTCGTAGCCCAACCATATTCCCAAACTTATTGTGAAGCTTAAGATCCATGGTGTTTAGCATGAGGCAATCAATATCCCTTGAGTTTTGCTCATAAATAGCAACTCTATCGTGAATCCATGGCCATCGATTTCTCAATAATATAAAGCTTCTTCGCAAATATGAGTACATCTCCCAAATTATGGATCCATCGCGCATAGTTAGTCTTTGTAAGCTTTTCATCAACAAGGAGACCACGCAATGCAAAAGAGAAACAATAGGTATTGTGTTTGTAGACATCTATAAAAATTAAAGGTTTTATTAGTGATTCGATAATTATCCTTTATAAAATTAATTACTTATGAAATTATTTTTATCAAAAAGGCTAAGATTCATATTTCACTTCCAGTTTTGAATAGGTATATCGTAATCACAAAAGGAAGTTATTTAGGTAAGCAAAACTCTTTACCAACCTACACATTTGGATAATGCACTTTCCCATGTACGCAAGACCACTAGAGTAAGTGTATTTTAAATGGATAATATATGATATATATTTTAAACAATTCTTTGTTTCATTTAGTTGAAATTTTCTTTTGAGAAAATTATTTTAAAACTCTTTAAAATAATTATAAAACACCTTATAAAACTTGATTTTTGTCAAATATCATTGACTTTCTTTTGACAAAGACTATTTTAAAACATCTTTTAAAATTATTTATAAAACCTTTTGTCAAAATTTAATCTTCTTTTGACAAAATTTATTTTAAAACAATTTTGAAATATTTATAGAACACTTTTATAAACTCATGTTGTCAAATATTAGCTGCATGTTAATTAAGTTAACACTTTAACCGATTTGTTATGTTTTCTTTTTTTAATTTTAAAATTAGGTTTTCAAGTCAAATTTTTCAAAGACAAAACATTTAAACTAAAAAAATGGCATACAAGTAAGTATAAGCATTGCTTTAATCCTATGCGTTATTCCATGTGAGCCATCACACAGAAAAAGTAGGTCATTTCGGGGACAACCTACTTAATATGATGCATGGATCTCACTTGATTCGTCATCCACACCTGATGCCCGGGAAGCCTCCAAGATTCTAGTCTTTGTTGTACTTTCTTGGTTGACTATGTTAATCACTTGTTTACAAATTGTAATATAATACTTTTCTTATCTAGTCTAACCTCTATTACAACTACTTTATCGAGTCCATACAATGAATAAAATACTCATACAATAAATTAAAACATTATTTTGATAAGGATTATAACAAAACAAACAAATAGAACAATCCAATTATTGTCTTTCTTTTACACAAATGCCCATTTGGGTACTTATTTATCCAAATAACCTACAACAAATGTGCCAACACCGTAATTTTTCAAACAAATTTTTCGTTTAAAAATCACATTTAATCTCATTAACACAATCTCAGAATTTCCAAAAATGTCGAATTATCAAAATCACATGTTCATAAGTTGATTAAATCACAACCCAGGATCCTCCAAAAGATATCTCCAACTTGTGTGTACAATTAAGTCGGTGTCTTTCCGTGATCCTGAGAAGTACTTGAAACACATAACACATAACACGGTAAGCACGAAACTTAGTGAGTTTCCCAAAATACCACACACATCTCATTAGCCTCTCATGGCTATACTCGAATAAGACCCTCCGGTCAATGTGTCTCAGTGGAACCCTCCGATCCCACAACTCGGGTGGACCCTCCAGTCCTAACTCAGTAAGCTCAGAATAATACACATCATAAATCACAAAGACATAATACAGGATATCACAATACTCAATATAAGCACATAAGACCCTCTGGTCACACATAAATTACCACTCTAGGTAAGTATAGTGAGAAGACTCACCTTGTAAGCAAGCAAATGAATCTCGTACGCGGATCACCAATCTAGCCTCCGCCTAACACATATGATAATTATCTCTAATTAACACTCCATTCACGATTCTAAATAAACCCAAGGCTATTCTCTATCTCTCTAACTCTTAGAATGGGTAAAAGACCATTCTACCCCTCCATGGTCTCCGTAATCCCTGTCTTGCCCAAACCCTAAGGTCAACTAAAGTCAACACTTCGAGTCAACAGTCCATGTTGACCCGACTCGTCGAGTGCACCTATGTGACTCGTCGAGTCCCCTTGTTCCTTCAGAAAAGTCGCAAAAATCAAACCTAACTCGTCGAGTTGTCTCATCAATTCGTCGAGTTACTCATGTCCAGACTCATCGGGGAAAACCCTAGCCGACTCGTTGAGTCAGCTCATCGACTCGGCGAGTCCATTCAGTCTATATTCTCATTCAGATGTTTAAAGGCAGATCTACGACTCCAAACTCTAGATCAAGCATCCTAAGGCTCGAATGTCACGTAAAGCTGCGAGCTTTTACGTTCATGCATGGCATAATAGGCTCATAACGCCAATACAAACTCCAACAAGGTTTAAATGCACAAAATCTTGTCTCTAGCTCAATAAAGCTCGGATCTTTGGGCTCTCAAGTCCTCCTAGAGTCCAGATTTGAGGTTTCAACCTCATGATATGCTCAAATAACTCATTATCAAAAGATGGATGGGAGAAAACCCTAAAAACCTCCATAAACTAAGATCTCACAAAGGAAAAGTCAAGATAGAAGCTTTTTACCTTTGCACTGAAGCTAATCACTGCAGAACTCTGGATCTACAGCCCCTCCTTGATCAAACACGTTAAGCTCTCCAAATTTCCTTCCAAAGATGCACAAAACCACTCAATTTAATCTCTCTCTCTCTCTCACACACACACACACACACAAATCAATCTGATCGATTAGGGTTTCACACAGGGGAGTTGGGTGGTTGGTGAGGCGGAAATGAGGGCTTAAGGCCCTTTAAATAGGACACAAACCCGAAGATTTAGGGTTTCCTCACACAGCGCCAACTCAGCGAGTCGGCTCTCTGACTCGTTGAGTTGGTCATTAAACCCACGTGGCCAATCCGACTCTACTCGACGAGTCGGGCATACAACTCGTCGAGTCACTCAATCAACCCCAAAAATAAATATATAAATATTATACCTGGAAGTCGGGATGTTACACATAAAGGTATAAGAAGCAAGCACGTAGTGTCTCAGTATAACACTCCATCATTCTCCTATAATATCAAATATCATCAATCTCAAAGAAGCATCAAAATTAAACATCTGAATGCTTTAAGGTCATCTGCCCTCAATTATGGAAAGTCGACATTGTATCTCCAAACTTGCAAATAAAGCCTCTTTGGGTAACAATAAACCCAAAGCTTTCATCTTCTTCTTAATCCTCCATAAGGAACTTATATTGTTATGATTGATAAAACAAGTATACAAGCGGTGGAACACAAACAATAGGAGGGAGCGAAACAATATCATACCTAAAAAATATTCAAATAGGGTAACTATAAACAATAAATTTATCTTATTAAATTAATATTTCAATTATATATATATATATATATATATATATATATATATATATAGAGAGAGAGAGAGAGAGAGAGACTTAGTTTTATATATAAACTCTATATATTGTATGAATATATGGCTAATTGTGGACCGATCAAATGATAAGGGCATTACAGTAATCTTTATTGACTAATTAATTAAATAATATAAATCTAAATTAGTTTATTATTTAAACTTCAAAAATAAGATCCTATATTTATTGAATAAACTAGTTTATAACCAGTGGGAACCACGGTTACAAAATTAATTAAACTTTCATAGTAAAAACTCAAAATTAGTAATCAATTATTTTAAATAAATTATTAATTAAGAGATATTTTTTAGTTATATAAAATTATAATTGTTGATTTAAATAAATACGTGACTGTTAACTTATCTCTTTGGGAATACGCCAAATATAACGAGACGACTATCCAACGATCGGCCTAGCTAACGATCGTTACCTGGTGTAAGTGTTAGGCCCCGTCATCCTAACACCAAGGCCCATAACAGGCCAAAATGGCACCAAATTGCTCCCCAGAACGACAAGTGTAGCGTTCAGAGCGTCACTTCTCAGTAACTCTGCACCAATAACAGATAACTACTAGTGGTGCATGACCTACCAATAGTGCGCCTCCA